GATCTCAAATGGCGACAGCTTTGTAGACGCGCTGACCAACGTTGCATGCGCGTACTCCACCGCTCCAAGAACATCCATCCAAATAGTACCTTGTAGTGACACCATGCAACGAAGAGCATCTTCGAGCACGCGATTTTGTCTCTCAACCTGCCCGTCCGCCTGGGCCCTGTGCGAATCGTCATCCGGAGCTTGACTCCAAGAACCTTCATAAGCTCCATCCACAATGAGCTCGTGAACTTGGGGTCTCGATCACTCACAATCGCGGCGGGTAACCCATGATTGCGAATAACCATATCGAAAACCAGTTGAGCCGTGTCTGCTGCGGTGGCCGTCGTGTAAGTGGGTACATATCGAGCTCGTTTGCTAAGCAAGTCGACAACTACCATAATGGCGTCATAACCCTTGGAGACAGGTATACCGGTCACGAAATCCATTCCGACGACCTCCCAACATTCTGACGGCACAGGTATTGGCATGAGGCGTCCATTCTTGCGAAGAGTACTGGACTTGCCGCGTGCGCACGTGGGGCAACTCTGTGCATAGGCTTCTACATCTTGCTCCAATGAAGGCCAAAAGTACCATAACGATAATGTTTGCTGCATTCGACGAATTCCTGCATGTGCTGCCACTGGTCCGTCGTGCGCTTCTGCGATGAGTGTCGTACGAAGCGCTTGACCAGCTGGTACACAGAGACCCAATACGCGTTCCTCAGACGTCACTACGAACAGCAATCCGTCCAGCTTGCGCACTGTGTCAATGTTGAAAACGACCTGCAGCGCTGGCGCCGACGACCTGATGATGTCCTTATAGAGGGGGGTCGTCCCGACGATAACCTCTAAGAAACGTTCTCTTGGTAGTTTCGTCGAGCTGCACTGTGACTTTTGTTAGCTGCGACGACTTTATGGTGGTAACAGCTTGTGGAACACCGACTCTGTGTGCAGCAGCTACTCCCCCCCCCCTCAAATAATCTGCTGTCCCACAAAGCAGACCGAGGTCACGTACTGATAGGTTTCCTAGCGCCATAGTCGAGATCGTGTGAGGTGTGCACGACGTTGTGACCATGTGTACCACCAGTCGTGAAGCTGAGACGCTCGGTGTAACGGGTAAAGAGCGATCAGGCTTGGTCTCAAGCCGTGGTAGTGCATCCGCCACCACCCTTTGACATCGTGAAGTACAAACGAAAATTGACCGAAGAAGTCCAACCAACGCGCCAACTTAACCGATACTTTGGGATGACTTAGAAACCACTTGCACGCTGAATTGTCCGTAAACACATCAAATTCCGTCCCATAGAAATAGTGACGCCATTTCCCGAGTGCTAATTTGATCGCAAACAGCTCTTTCTCGTGGGTGGGCCAGTTTACTTCGTGTCTTGACAGTTTTTTTCGACAGAAATGCAACTGGGTGGTCAATGCCATCTTGAACTTGCGCTAGTACCGCTCCACAGCAAAATTCGGATGCATCCGTCGTAACCACAAATCGTAGAGAGTAGCTGGGGAGAGCAAGCACTGGTGCCTGCTGCAAGGCTGCCTTCAAGTGTAGCGCGTGTCTTGCGTTCGTCAGACCTTCTGCAGACACTGTGTGTCCTAAGAAGTTCACCATGGCGCAGCTGAACTGACACTTGGAGAGGCGAGCTTACAGCTTCTGCAAGCGCAAGACCTCGAAGACGGCTGCTAAATGAGCGAAATGTTCCGGCTCCGTCCTCGAGAATATACACAGGTCGTCCAAGTATACTATCACAAAACTGAAACTCCCAAAGAGTAAGCGCATTAGTCTTGACCATACGCCTGGCATTCCACTCAATCCCCTGGGGGCGACGAACCACTGGTACGTCTCTGTCTCGGTCCTGAACGCCGTATACTTGCGACTCGCAGGCTCCACCAGCATTGGATGATAGCCTTGAGCTAGATCCATCGTAGAGAAAAGCGGCAGCCCTCCATCCGATCAAATAACTCTTCAGCTCTAGGCAGCGGGATTTTGGGATTTTCGGTCTGGGAGCTCACATACCGGTAATCCACAACCCAACGCACCGGTAGCGAAGCATTTTCCGAACGAAGCCATTCTGCGCTCGATGGGGCTTTGCCTGTCGTTGGGTCTTTCTTTGGTACAGCGAAAATACTGGATACCCACGGTGAGTTTGAGACCGTGATCCACTGCTTGGGTAGTAGCTCGTCCACAAAGAGTTTCAGCGAGTCTTGCTCAGTCTTGGACAGGCGGAATGGGGCGCCTGAGCTTGGGCGCGCGTCTGATTTCATTGTCAGAGAAAACTCAACCATACACGATACGGGCAGCGCATTGGGCCGCTCGTCTGGAAAGCAATCATCGTAGTCTTGCAGTAATTGGCAGATAGCAGGAGATGGAGAATCGACAACCTGACGCACCATTTTAGCTTCTAGACCTGATACCACCGCATTGTTGCCATTATAGTCGTCGTCGCTCCGCTCTGCTACCCTGCGCAAGTCATCAGCGTTGCACTCCGTGCGGCTGGCGGCTTGACCTTCCTCCGTGACTGCAAGACAAGAGCTCGTTTTGCTCAATCAGCCATTCTGGATTTAATAGGCCAAAATCAAGCGTTACCTCGTGCGTGCGCCAGCTGATGACCGGGTTAAATCGCGAGAGCCACGGCTTGCCTAAAATAACGTCGTGGGTCGCAGGTAAGTTCCACTCCGAAAACAGCATATTGGTCAGAGCGTAACCCTCCAATTGCATGTCCGTCTTGACTTCATTGATCCATTGCGGTGCCGTAGTCGTACCATCAAAACGTTCTGCCACCGCCTTCTTGCGCCGAACTACTTCCGTTGCTAGGCCTTGGCGAATGACGTTGTGGTCAGCACCACTGTCCAACAACACCTTTACAGCGTGACCGTTCACCTTGCCCTTCTTAACCAGCAGCTGGTGGAACTGACTCACATCATCTTCCGTAGTGCCAAAGTCTGCCCACATTGATTGTCAAATGCTCGAGCAACTCAGTCTCAGTGTCTAGCTCCTTCTCTTCGTAGGCATTTACGCGATGATTGGAGGCCATAGTAGTTTCCCTGTTGCTCCGGGTCGAACGTCGATCGCGTTGATGCTGGTATTATCCCGGCCAAAAAGGCTTGGACAAAAATGGTAATATATTTTATCTTAAATTAGAGGAATGTAACTCCGCAACCGTAGAGCCGATTTCGTTGTGTGTCCCCTTAATAGATAGCTTGGTGTCTATTTATTCTCGTAAGAACTTCACAGCATCTAATAATGTTCACTACTTTTCAAATGGTCGCCGGTAAGAAATTGACTGCTGCTGAGAAGTACTTGGTTGTGAAGACCTACGAGTTCCTCCGCCAAAAGAAGGCCTCTGCACCGCATCTATGGAAAGGAGGAGTTCGTTATCATGTCAAAGAGTGTTTAGGCTTTGCTACGGGCACCATTTCAGCTATATGGGCGCACTGGGAGCAGCACCACGACAAGAATTTCACCTCGGTAGGCTGTACTTCATATCATTTCAGTTATTATTGATATTTATCATTTCAGTGGTCGACAAATTAATTATGACAGATGGAAGGTCCAAAACCATCTGGGAGGCCTCCGAAACATGGAGAAAGCATACAGCCTCTCGTGCGTGAGTCGGTGTCAAGAATAAACAAGAGCGGAAAACCTGTTGCAGCACCACAGTTAGCATAGCGTCTTAAAGAAGAGCACAACATTGTGGTATCAGTGCGCTCACTACGTCGCGTGCTTAGGAGGATGGGAATGCGATTTATAAAAGGAAGGTCTCGCAATATTATGGCAGAAACGACGGCAAATGTTGCGTTCAGGGCGCAATATTTGAGAAAAAAGTTTTAAACCTGAACAGACGTAATTTTCCAGTGCGCCCCGAGGTTTATCTCGCCGAGACTTTTTGTAACCTGCACCATGTCGCCAATTTATCGTGGGTTGATGCCTGAGCTACGCTGTAAAATCTACGAAGGTTTTGCATCGCTCACGTCAGATACGTGGGTAAATGCATACACACACGCACAGAAATACGAGACAAAATATCTGCAGCAAGGTGATGAATGCGAAATTGCATCGGAACCAGAGGGCAGCAACGAGGACACGGAAGAGGATGACGCCGTCGATGACAATGAAGCTGTAGCCGATTAGGAATATGAACGGGTGACCCGTTGTATGTTCTTTACACTCTAGATATTCTTTTGACGGGTTCTTTTTAACAAGTTTATTATTTTCTAACAATCGTCAAATTGCGGTAATATTTGGAATTTATCCATCCGGTTCTGAAAATCCCCACCTGTTATCCCGGCTCTGCCAATGAATATGCATGCATGTTAGTACGTGCCAAGCCCACAATTGCAAACAATTCTGCGAGATATAGAGCCTTTTTTAAACGGCCGATTGGGAGATCAATGGTTGCAGATACGCAAAAATAGACCTCAAAATCGGAATCTACGCCCGATTTTACCCCTTATATCTAACTATCGTTATGGGTTTTGTGAAGGGAAGGGTTACCTTTTTTGGACCAAAGTTTGTCCAAGGTTTGGTGGCCGGGATAATAATAGCTCTGCTGTTGTCGCTGAGGCTGACGAGCAGGTACACGTTGGTCGATGCGCTTCTGACACTGTGCCATGCGGTGACCTGGCTCCTTACAGAAGAAGCACAGGTTGCGTCTTTGGAGCGCATCCCTTCGACTGAACCCTATATCCATGGGTTCAGGTTGTGACTCACGAGTCGAAAACGGATTCGGGTTTCTAGCAAATCCACGGTTATTCGTGTCCCGGGTTCGTTGAACTGCCGATCGGGAAAACCCGCGGGGTCCATGCAACTGGATAGGGTGTGCACGATAGCCACGTTAATAGCTTGGTGCACAGTGCTGCACCGACGATACACAAACTCGGCTCGTGTCTGCGACACGAGACCGCGCGTGAAAAGCGTAATCTTGTCAAGCTCGCATATGTCTTTGACACGACTGATTAGCTGTCGGTACTTAGTGACATATTCGGCGAGTTCACGACACTCACGCTTTTTTAACTGGTACACAGAGGCTCTTGCAGATCCGGCGGGATGAACTCGCGGCGCAGAGCCGCTGCGAGCGCTGTAATGTCCGCGATTTCATGTTGCTGTGTGACATACCACGCAGCCGCTTGTCCGGTTAGGTTAAAGACCATTATAGAGAGTACGTGCTTGCGGTTATCCTCATGCGTGTAGCCTATGTTCTTAGATTCAAAGAACAACCTGGCTTGATCCAGTAAAAGCTCTAGGCTTTCACCAAGCGATCCACCATAGTGCGGCATACTGATGCCTTCCACAGCAGGTGGCTTACTCTCGACCGTTTCCATCAGCTCCTGCTGTTTGTGCAGGACTGAGGACACTTCTACCAAAAATTAAGCAGCTACACTTGCGTCCATCTTGATTTCAGACGCTCATAGGGCTTCCAGCCCAGCGCTGTAGGCGGGCACGGTGGCACAACGCTACTTCTTTCTCCAGGGGCTTGCTTCAAAAAGCACTGCGGGCACGGAGGCACAGCGCAACCCTTACTACAACTTCGAGTTTTTGTTTGCACCACAGCAAGCTCGGTACGAAGTGGTGTCCGATGTAGTGTGGTCCACACTTCCTTCAGCTGCTGACCAATAACCAAATGTTGGGTTCGGACACGGCGAGCTGGAAGGAATTGGAGGTTGATGGAGGGTGTGGACGAGTGAAGCTGGGTAGACTGGGTAGTGTAAGAAGTGGAAGTGAGGCCTTTGAGGCAAATTTGAAAGTGAATTCAGTTGAAAACTAAGACGTGGATCTCCGGCTACACTGCGAGGCAGTAAAGGAGTCCGCCACTGAATCTTGGGCCTCATACGTTACTTCTTTGATATAACTAGCACACCACAGGACGATCTTGAATCTTGAAAAATAGTAGGGAGGATAATCACGCGCCTTCCCCATCAGATTCGCGGTCATGCATGTAGCACCCAGCAGCTCCGCTCGGACGGAGGTATTCGCTCACACACACTAGATTCGCTTGCTGCAGGCAAGCAGGGCAGACGAAAGGTTGCGTGCGCAATCCTTACAAAAAGGGTTAAATATTTTGTGGGTTTCACGCCGTTAAGTGCACGGGTTCAAGTTGATGGAATCATTTTTTTAGTGTGAAAGGAATCGGTACTGCTGTGAATATGTAGTGGACGTTACAAATTGACGGTGCGTGGAGTGCGATATCTACCTGAGCTCCAGTGCAGTTTGTATTCGATTCATCGACAAGTGGGTCATGACGTACTGATTCATGACCGTGTAAAAGTCCATTTTGATGAACCGGGGCAGGCTGATGTGATTCTCCATACTGGGCATGCTGTGGCTTACTTTGATCAAACAAATTTGAATCACTTGGAGTTTGAGAGTCCTGACGATACGGTTCTGATGGCGATGCCGAAAAAGACTGATGTAGTGAACTTGTGGCACAAAAGGCTAGGCCACCCAGGTCGTACCATATTCAATGCCCTATTTCGTCATGATCACTGGCCGCTGACGAACATGGACCTTCGTGCATCCGAGTCATTTCAGTGCGAGGCCTGTTCAAAAGGAAGAATGACGCGAACATCGTTTCACTCGCAGACTGGACAGCATCGTAAGTGGTTAGCTGGAGAAATGGTTCATTTAGATGTTTGGGGGGCCTTACTCAGTGGCATCTTACGGTGGAAATAAAAACTTCGCTGTCCTAGTTGATGATACAAATCGTTTTGTGACAGTGTTTCTACTCGAACATCGCTCAGATATCGATAAGCAACTTGAAGTGTACTATGAACGGGTAAAGATACAGTTGCACGTAAGAATGAAAAGCCTGCGCAGTGATAATGCAAAAGCGTTTGATAGATTGCAGCAATCGTGCACAGCCAATTATGGAATGGAGTGCACCAGCAGCATCAAACATACGCCGAAGCAAAATGGTGTTGCAGAGCGTATGATTCGGACTCTGACAGAACACATGAAATGCTTGCTGCTGATTTTTTATTTATCGCAGCCGATGTGGGCGGAAGCGCTGCTGACGGCAACGTACTGCGTGAATGTGGTGCCAAATGCAGTGCGTGAGATGGAGATATCATACACAGGGAGACACCTGCATATTCCAAGATACGTAAGTTTGGATGTGCAGCTTTAGCTTATGTGGATAATGTCGAAAGATGCAAGCTCGATGCGAGAACGCGTCAATTTCACACTACACTACGTTTCGGCACCTTAGATCTGAGGCAGCACCTCAAAAGTTGGGGAAGACAACACGTTACGGTAGCAGCACAATTAAAAGTGGGGTCTATGAAATCTGTGGCCGTTCTGGGGCTGTGCATCGAGTTAAAGGCAGAGGATAGGAAGAAGCCCATGAGATCTTGGCATAGGGAGGCGTCAGGAGCGTAAAACAGTGTGCGTCGGCAGAAAGTGTGTGGACCGCTCGACGGGGGGCCTTCCAGAACCTGCATGGTGGCCGTCTGGCACTCATCCAAATGCCAAAGCGTATCCCGTGGCAACAGAAGGCCTTCGCGGCCGAGGAGTCCGTCGCAGACGCGTTTCTGGACGGGGTGAAGTCCTTCGACGTTGTTGAGAGTCACGTCATGGCGTGCACTGTGTGTATGGGAGCGAAGCAGCACAAGATGCGCTATAGACTGCTAGAGTGTAGCTTTTCATTATGCGGCGAGGGCCAGTCGTCGCCCTGCAGCTGGCGAGGCAAGCTGCTGTCATGCGAGGCAACGCAGCGCGTTTCTATCTACAGCTATGGTGCGCACGCTACTGAGGTGTCTTCGCCGAAGAAGAAGAAGCTAACTCCTGCACAGAAGACGTATTGCAGAGAGAAGGCCGACGATCACATCCGGCCGCTGCGGATCCGACACGGCATGTCTCGCAAGTTCTCCACCCCGCTTGAGGACCTTCCAGATTTGAGCGTCGTCCAGAACTTTGTAAGCTACTACAGTCGCACCTATCTTGACAACCATGATAGAGTAGAAGACCTTCGAAAATGGGTGCACGCAAGGAATTACAGTGGAAGGGAAGATAAGGACCAGACATTCACGTTTTGCTGGGAGGCCGATGTTCAGGGGCTCCCTAAAGTGGGGGACGGCTCCGACGAACGACCGTTTATTGTGGGAATGGCGACGACGGGCTTGATGATGCAGCTGTTGATGCCACCGGGCGGCTTCATCTTGCACGTAGATGCCACGTACAAGATGAATCACCGTGGTTACCCGGTTATTGTCGCTGGTGTGTCTGATCGTGCACGGGTTTTTCATCTAGTGGCATTGTTTGTGGTTTCATAAGAAACCCAGAAAGTTTTCGAGGCTGTGCTACTGTCACTGCAGCGCGTATTCTACTTTATTACGCACAAGAATCTGGTAGTTTGATACGCAATGGCAGACGCAGACCAAGCCCAGTATAACGCACTCAACTCGGTGTTTGGCCAGACGCGGGGATTTACATTCCTTATAAGCTTTTTCCATGTTGTCAAGAACATATATAAGGCGATTAAGATGTTTCCCTCGGTTATAACGGCTAGCTTAATACGTGGGGTGTACGATTTACACTTCTCGCGATCCGAGTCAGACTTTCAGCGACTTCAGAAGCACCTTTTAGCGACGTGATATGGAAATCCTTATACTGTTAGATTCGCGCAGTACATGACTGACTAGTGGCTGTACGGGCGGTTCTGGAGATTCCTACACGCACATCCATGGTGCTTTAGCAACTTCCTCGTATCCACTTCGCACATTTCAGTCAGGAGACACACTAATGACTATCTAGAACTAAAGTTAGCCACGATCCGCAACAACTGAATGGTGAATCTCTTCATTGAAGTGTTTAGCTACATCCTACATACGAGAGAATTGTACACTACTCGGCTTGTACTTGGTTTTCGTCCTTCCAGCACTTGTCACAAGCACACTTGAACCAAGTCTCATCACCATAGTGCACTGTAATCTGGGCTCCCGATTTCACACTGCGTATCATGCGTACAAACACCTTTACCGTACTGCGGTTCTGTAGCTCCACGAATACAGCGTTTGGCTCACAGGCGTGACTAATAAAACGCGTCACGGCACCAAACGCTAGTGCCTCCACGTACACAAACCAGTTCTTCACGGACTTGGTGTTGTATAGCATCGTATATCCATTGTTCTGCTTTACCGCTTCTATAGGCTGCCGCTCTCGCAATCCATCCAACTGAAGGAGGACACCAGCATACGCCCCGACAATGTCTCCGACTTCCAATCCTGTGGTAGTCATAAGTCCAATACCCACACGTTCAGTATCAAATAGTCGTAAAGTCTTTCAGTCCACAGGAGCGTTACTGCATACAGCATTCAATCTGCAGCACTCAGGTGTGCAGTACACTGCCGAAGAAACGATATCGCACGTATCTAAGAAACAATCTCCAATACATCCGCACTTATCAAACTCGTCAATGTCCTTAAATAGAATACCTTTGGGGTTGAGGCAGGAGACGATTTGCTGGCATCCATCGGGCCACGGTAGCCCCTCCGCTTCGTGATCGGCGTCAACCACAGGCTCCACATACGCTGGGCGGTATTGATGAAGTACATTAAGACGATCAAGCACACCGGGTAGCTCTAGAAAAGCTTGCACCTTGCGAGCTTTCAGGGACTTGACGTGGTACAGCTGGGTGCCGCTACGGGTGGCGCCGCATCTTGTCTGATGATGACGTTTGCGTATCCTCGGTTGGCTCCACGCATTAGCCCGTTTCTTGGCTTTGGGGTCGAATCTTATCGCGCATATAGCGCGTCGGTATTGTCTTCAAGTACTCATTGACGTCCAGAATGTCTTCATCCGTGGCGGTCATAGCAGCAGCAGAAGCAGTGAGTTCTGTTGGTTGAACTTTGGCTTGCTCAGCGCCAATACCCTCGCATGGACGTTCTTCTGCACACGCCAAAGCACGAGAAAAATCATTTGCACAGGACGTCTGGTCAGGAATGACTGTGCTGGAGGCCGGATCAAATAGTGGCTCTACACCAGCCGCGATGCCTCCTCCTGGAGTCTCGTCGGCGGAACCCTCGGATGGATACGCTTGTATAGACAACTCTGCACTTGGTGCACCACTTTCTGTAGCTCTAGCGGTCACAATAGATGTGCAGGGCATCAAAATAATGGATTCAGCTGGAATAATGTCATTTTTTGCAACGCCACCAGATCTGGATCTCCCCGCTGTGATTTCCTCGCTTGCGCGAGCTTTGTCGGTCTCTCTGTCGCCTATATAGCCACTCGGAGGCACTTTCTTCTCGAAAGCATTTGTGTAGCCACCGCTCCTGCTACCTGAATCCACCGCGGCCTGGCCATCGTTAGCATCATGATCGTGGTT